CCCGTCGACGCGGTCTTCCAACCATGCTTCCAACCGTTCGTTTCGATGGAGCCGCCATCGAAAGTGCTGCAGTGAAACAAACACTCACAGAAACAAAAAGGCTCGATACCATTCCAAAATATCCAAAAAGATGTAAAGAAAAATACCAAAAGAACTTGTTGAGACTTTCTTTTAAACCAGATTTAGCAAACTGTAGAAGATTAACAAAGATTGACTTTACACACTAAAGGCAGCGATTTTCAACTACGCGAAATGTTTTTTCTGGAGTACAGGGCGCGCAATGCATCTAGGGTGAACATGGGCCTTTAAGTTAATTTTTAAAATCTGTTGAGCCTTGACTCATGATCAGATTAAGACCAAAGGAAGGCGGTCCGATCATATTGTAGTCTCCGGGAATCAGACGTCCTTTTGACGTCTTCAGTGCCGGAAAACGTGGTCTTAAAAAACAAAATTGGCGCATGTAATTGTTACTTCCTACACGTACTGATAGATAGGGAAACCCAGTGATTAAGATAGTTCTCTGAAAGTCTCAATGTGACTTGAGGCACTATCTACAGACGTTGTAAGCTTAAAAATGTTAAATGAGCGTGCTCCTCAAGGCACCAAGCACCGTAGTTGATTCAATGACATCCTCTGGCTCATGAAAAGTGGCAAATTCTTGGCTTGCTAACACGTGACTAGGCGGCCAGAGGAGAGAAATGCTTTTGTTCTGGCCTGGGTTCCTGGAAAGCCGATTAATCTATCCTCCGATTAGCGTCAAATCCACGATAAATTTCTTATTCCTCGGATAACTAATCGTGGGTCAAAAAGGAGTTTCTGAAAACGAAATTATCCCGCGATTAACTAATCCCGGATTAGTGCTAAATAAAAAATGGTTTAACGAGTTTTTCGACCGCCTGCTTCCAAAAAAATATAGCGTGAAAAATTGGCGCGGATTGCGGGGCCGGTGAACAAAATAAAATGGCAGAAAGTGAGGCTAAAGGAAAGAAAAAGAAAACCACATTTCTCGCCACTTGAGATTTCCTTAATTACAGAAAGTGTAAAAAAAATATATTGATGAGATCCAGTCAAAGCTGACGAATAATATAACAAACAAAAGTCTGGTAGGATTTAATCCTCGATTAGCGCTAATCGACTACTAATCGGCTTTCCAGGAACCGTGGCCCGACCACCAACACAAGCTAACACACCACCAACATGGCCGCCGTGACGTCACGAGCAAACCAGCAATAGCAGCTACCAAGATCCGTTTAGACAAGTTTGAGGAAATGTAATATGGGTGAGGCTGATGATGAGCTGAGGGTAATTGGTACTTCACATCTCTCTCTAGGAGCCAATCCTTAAATGGTCTATGAGTTGAAAATTATGTACTGTCAAGAGATCTCTTGGTATACTGTCTACCATTGTAGAATCAAGCACAAACTTTCTAAGGCAAAATCTACTCTGCAGATCATTACACAAAGATGCTGGTCAGAAAACTGTTTTAGCGGTTTTAAATTGACATTTTGTTTCAAAAAAAGCTTATTGACCAGATGACGTTATGACATTATTTCATCCGAAATTATACCTTTTTTTTCTCTAGTCTGTAAAAAGCCCCACACCTCTATACCCAAGGAACGCGGGGAGGATTTCTCAAGGGACCCAGAAAATAGAAATACACGGGCGCGGAAAAATTTGTTTTGTCTTCAACGTTCCAACGTGGCATTGGAGAATCGTTAAATTATGAACTGGTTTGAAAAATTGCATTTCCAATTAGTTGTTCGTAGCGCGTGTTGGAAGAAGCAAAGTCGAGCGATTCCGAGACAGAAAATTCGTAATGTCAAAGCAGTGTTGGTGAGAGTGTGACTGTTGCGCCTTCGGAAAATATTTACAGCTGTTTGCAAACGTCCTTCGTGAGTAAGGAGAACGGCTATATAAGCTGCACGCTAAAAATTCGTACGGAGGATCTCATGACCGGTAATTTGCTTTCCACTGCGGAGATTGAAGTAGGGTTAAACAACATTTCACAAAATGAAAAGCAGGGTAAGGTATCACTCTCTGAAATTTCACTAGTTTTAGGGTTGTGTTTAACTTACGAAGTAACATTTTAACACGAAGTATTTCACGAACAACAAGTTTAATAATCAGGGAGAGGTTTCTTTTACAGGTCACGGTTACAGGTCACTGTTTAATTGATATAGTAATTAACTAAACTAAATAGTATCTTCTTCATCGAAAACAACATTTTGGATAGGGATTGGGGCTAGGAAACATTTGGTGGTATATTTATGTTGTAGTTAATTTTGTATCTCAGTTAGTGTTTGTTTTTCTTTTGTTTTGGGGTATGGTAATGTATGCTAATGAAGTTGAAACAAAAGAAAAAGAAAAATTACCTGAGATAAAAAATTAACTACAACATTTATCTTTGACACGGTGACCTGTATTCTGACCTGCGGAAAGTGAACCGTAAAAAATACCTGCCGGTTTAATAAATGTAAGTGGGTTATGCTTCACAGCGGGTTAATACAACTTAGAACTCTATTTAAAGCCTTCTTCACTTTAATAAGGGTCATAAAGGTAGACCCTTCTCTTAGATACCCAAGGTACGTTTGGTTTCAAAAACCACTCAGACTCGACAAGTTAAGACTTGCAAAACCAGTAAGGTAACAAGATTTCCGCACAACCCTATACATTTATTAGGTTTAATTTTTTTGACTCTATTCATAGAAACTTCTTGAGATTGTTGCATGTATAACAAAATTAATCTCATGGCGCTCTGAGGAAATCTTACCCAAGACCAAGGGGTAGGACGTCGGGACGACGGGATTTTCATGGGCGAAGGTTCAAAACAAGACAAAGTCGTCGCATCCAAAGCTCATGCAAAAATATCCAATGAAAAGGCATGAGGCTAGATGACAATAAAGACGACAATAACTATGTCACTACAGGAACAAAGTCAGCTAAAACAGTTCATTTTTCAATAACTTAAATTTTAATACATTGTTTACTTCAAACATAAAGACTTTTTTTATGAAAAGTAAAAACGGTAGAAAACGTTCACAGTGTAATTTTAAGAAATACCTTATTATCATAAACTATATAAAAGGACCATCTCCACTTTGTGTGATGTTTACCATTTAAAACATGTCATAATTTTGAAACAAAACTAATACAGCATTAATAACTTACTTCTCCACACTATCTTTATAATATTAAACATTTGACGTTGTATACCATGCATGGTACACTTGCGGACAACTACTTAATTACATGTCTTTTTCATCAGTACTACTTTTCGAAAGAAATACTGCACTACTTTAACACAAGATCAAAATCAGAGAGGTTCCACTCTTTACG